TTAATACTACTCATCGATAGCACGTCACTTTTAATCTTACGCCAGGTCAATTCTCTCCCGAGTGGCGTATGTAAAGCATATAGCTATTTAATTCCTAAGGCTGTGCAATAAACGGTGTAATGGATCCGGTTTACTGAAGATGCTGGTTCGCTCCCAGCCCCGAGAAAAATAACTATGGCCCAACTACTTTACTCGTATTATTATACTGAATACCAATAATTTAAAAACTAGTATGCCTGATTTCCAACAAAAAGCCTTATTAATCCCGATTTCTTCATTCAAAGTCTGATGTTACTTAGAGTTATCTATCTACATATTATTTCTCTATCTCGAAACTTTAATCATATCTTGTACAATCGACCTCCACTCTCGAAATTATTCAATTGTTGAACACAGCATCTTAACCTGTTACTTTTAGCCGTTTCAGTGGCACTGAAATAAATAAAAATACTGTATCTTTTTCTTTTCCCCACTATTTTTTTCGCGTGCTATTTTCTAAAGATTTGGGGGTTGCAATTTCGAGAAGCTTAATCTCGAAAGAACTCCTTTCAAAAAAAATTTTGTCCAACCCAAATAATGAAACGGTGTCTTATCTTTGTTTTAAACCCAGATTTATTAATTTTTGGAATGGGAAAAAATTTTTTTGAATGGCCAAAATAAACCAGTTTTAAAAAGTGAAAAATTAAAATAAAAATTTATTTAAAAAATTCATTTTACTTTAAAATGACATTAAAGTTAATTATCCAAGATATTATTGGGATTTACACTTTATAAAAGTCATAATGATCGATTGGGTTCGAACCTTACACTTAAAGTAGGCGCGCTACCAACTAAGCCACAAGTACCGCGATGAAAGGCAAGTAACAGCCTCTGCCTATTTTAAGATGCTGTGTTGAAATTATTCACTTAGTCTTCTTAAACGTCTATTAATATATAGAATATGCCCTTTAAGTTCACATTTAAATCACATTATTTTTTTAAATTTCAAAAGAAATTTTAGACATTGTTTTGTCTAGTTAACTTTATGATGTAAGGAAGTAATATTTTCTCATTAATTATTTAAAGTGCATTTTATTATGTCTACAATTTTGTTTTTTTTTATTTAAAAAATAAAAAGGACTTAAGTGCTTTAATAACAATATATTTTAAAATTCTTCAAATATTTTTCTGTATAAATACTCCACTTTTCATAGTTATATTTTATCATTTTTAACTTTTCTCTTTATCTTTATATTTAAATTATTTTTAAATTTAAAATTGTCCTTTTATGTATTTTAGAGCAATTTTTATTTTAAATAATTCATTATGATGTACACCTTTGGGACTTTAAAAATTGTATCTTATAATCAGGGGTCGGTCGGAATTCAGATTTCTGACACCTCGTCATTTCAGACCGACCTCTGCTTATAATTCGGGTTCTCGGTTCTGTACCGAACCAAGCCGATGAACTAATGATTTTTTGGTTCGGATATCGGTTAGGTTCCTGATATCCGAAGATTTTCCAAGAACCGACAACCCTGCTTATAATGAAGGGCTTCCAATTTTGATGTATTGCTTACGTAATCTTCTTGTGACGGATAATAAAATTTAAAAGAGGGGGAGGCAAAATCACGCGCGATATTGTCTAGTCTTTTCCCATTATGACATGCGAGTTTTTAAGCATAGCATTGAGGGAGCCCCTTTTACCCAAAAGCCAGACAAATTTAAAGGCGTATTTTAAACTGAATTTTATCTATAAGTGAATTAGTTATCAAAATTATTTTAGTTATCAAACCAAGCTTCTTATAAATATTTTGCAGTAATTAAAATCTCTATTGTTTAAAATTTTTTAAATAATTCGAAAAAAATTTCAGCAAAATTTTTAAATAATTTTTTAAAGATAAAATGTTAAATAAACAATTAATTATTATTAATTTATTTTTAATTTTAATAATTTTTAAATTTTGTAAATGCAATGAAATGACTGTTAAATATTACAAAAAGTCTGGTCACCGTTGTGAATTTATTGAACAAAATCAAAAAATAATTAAAGAGACTGGAAATATAATTAATTTAAATGAGAAAATAATTCGAGTTGAAGTATTCTATAAATTTGCAAGAAATACTCTTTTTGGAAAAACTAATTATTTCTTTTTTCTTGGGGAACAAGGGGATTTGTATTATTTAAAGGATAAAGAAGTAGAAAAATGTACAAATTTGAGATATACTATATATAGATGGATTAAAGATCTAAATATTGTTGATGGAAATGTATGTTTTTTAATTATTAGAGCCTTAATTTTACATACATATACCAAACTTACAAACACACTCATTTTTTTTGCTTTGATTAACCATTGGGCGAAAGAGTTACTTTATGCAATAACTCTAGTTTTTAGGTCAAATTTTGTGTTTAGTTACTTTTTATACCCCCCCCCCCGAAATATTCCCGAATTGATACAACTAAAACACGATTGCTCTCGGTATAGCCTAAATACCTGGGCATTTATCCATGAACCACAGGTTTTCATACTATACCACTTCCTATCGCTCGATATAGGTTAACTAACGATGAACCAGATTCTTATGATACGGGCCATGATTGTCACAAATAATCAAATTTTGGATAATTTGAAAGTTAGTTTTTGAAATTTTTTTCAATTAAAATGCAACCTTAATAAAAAAAAATAAAATTGATTAATATAAAAACTGACAATTTAAATATTCTCAAAAATATTCTTTTTACGAAAATTTTTTTCTTTTCAAGTTAATTGAATATATGCCATTAATAGGCACAGATTATAATGGAAATAAATATTGCCAAATTGTGTTAAATGATGCAAATTCTTCAAGTTTTGTATTTAAAAATAATAAAAAAATTTTTAGTAGAGAAGTTGATACTTTTTATTTAAGTACAGAAAAAGGGGAAATTGGGCTTTTTCCACATGTAAAACAAATAATATTTGAAAATAATAATGAATTAAAAAAACAAAGTTGGGAAATTTGTAGTGAATCTGCTAAAGAATTAAATAAAGGTAATAAGATAAATTTTGTTTTTTAAAAATTTTGAAAAAATTATTGCCGTGGTTACCTTACTTGGACTTCACGGGAGACTAACAAATAAGTTCCGATGCTTAGCTGCAGTTGGTAAAGTTTGTTTTCGTTTAGTTCCTGTATGGCACTTGAATAAGTGGCACGCCTCAGTTGGGGAGGCAATATAGTTTAGCTTTGCTTGTAAATCCTGAAACAAAAAAATTGACTACTAGTGCAAATTATTTGATCAAATTATTTGATATTTGAAAAAATTTGTTCTATTACAAATGTCATTAAACAAATATTTTCCCAAATATTTGTTTGGACCAATCTCTATTGACTACTACAAACAGACATATGTATATTTGTGGTTGATTTAATTACATAAAAAATTTAGATTTTGTTTTAATTTTAATTAAATATTTTTCTTTAAATTAAGCAACATTTTTGATTGTAAATGATTGAATTAAACAAAACAAAAAGAAAAAAATTTTGTAATTAAATTAAATATTTTCTTAAAATTTTCTAAATTTGTTTTCGATTTTTGTTTTATAGCCAAATAACCGTTTTATTATGATGGGAATTTTGAAGAAATTACCCCTTTTTCTCGATTTTCGGTTCTAAAATTATTTTTGAATTTCTACCTTATTATTTCTATTTTCTACATATTTTTTTTCTATTTTTTTGTCTGTCTGTTCCTTTTTTATAATAAAAAAAGGAAAAAAATATTTTCATTTTATTTTTTTTTATATTTTGTAGTTTGTATTTTTTATTTTATTTTTTCTAGTGTGTTCACATTTTATCAATAAAATTTAAGAATAAACGATTAAACAATTAATATTTAATTTTAATTATTTTAGACTTTAGAAAAGAGAATTTTTATTTAATTATTTAATCATTAATTTATATTTGTTTTTCTAACAATTAAATTGACATCATTTAAATAATGATAGTAGAAAGAAATTTGTAGTTTGTAGTTTGTATTTATGTAGTTTCTATTCTTCACTATAAAATTCTTTTAATAACCTGTTGAGAGTATATATAATTTACGAATTTTTAGAAAAAAATAATTTTTAGTTATTTAAAACATTCTTCTCTTTTCCTCTATTAAAAATTCAATTTAATACATGCAATCGAGACTGAAAAAATTTGAAAAAAAAAAGAAAAAAAATAATTTTTTAGTTTTTAATTTAACAACAAAATTTGAAATTAAAAATTCAATTTACCGTATTTCCTATATTAGAGCCCCACCCTCTGTTAGAGCCCCACCCTCAATTAGAGCCCCACCCCAAATACAGCCCCACCTAAAAAATATTAAAGGAAAAAATATCCCAATAACTTTTTAGATGTATTAAGAGAGTTAAGAAAATAAAGGGGGATATCGATGATATCGTGATCATGGATTTTTCTTTCGATATTTTGCGGTTTTATCGACCAAACCTCCGGCTTATCTCTAGTTGAATGGATAGTTAATAAATGGAATTATATTTCAAAAGAGGGTTGAAAAATAGAGCCCCACCCTCAATTAGAGCCCCACACTCTAATACAGCCCCACCTTGGCGGATAGTTGAAAAATAGAGCCCCATGGGGCTCTAATATAGGAAATACGGTATATGTAATTTTATTTTCAAATTTTCTTTTATCTTGCCAACCATTTATAATTTACACTTTAATTTTAAAATTATAAAAAATTTTAACTTTAATTTTTATTTATTTAAAAAGAGTTTATTAAAAAATCAATTTTCTTTTTGTTTCAGGTTGAGTTCATTTAAGTGCATTTTTTTGTTAAATTAAAAGTTAAAAAATTATTTTATTTTTTTATTTTTCAAATTTTATTGTCTAGACAATAAGAGAGACATAAAAAAAGATAAAACAATTGACTTGCTTGTTTATTAAAAAAATTTTTTTTAATTAATTTTTTCAAGCAATAAAATTAAATTAATTATTTTTTTTCTCTTCAAAAATTTCCAGATTTTCTTAATTAAAAAATGAAAAATATTTTGTTTAAATATTTATTATTTTTACTAATATATTTATTTAATGTTGAATCTTCAAAAATTTTAGTTTTTAGTCCAACTATAAGTCGAAGTCATATGATTTCCAATGCTCGAATAGCTGATACTTTAGCTAGTGATGGACATAATGTTGTTAGTTGGTTTTGTTTTAATTGAAATTATTTTTTGTGGTGTCCCTCTCTCAAATAATTACCCTGGGTAATTATTTGAGCAAATACGGTATTCTGAGAGGATTGAGAGACTAAAACTTGGTAAAATTAGAGAATAAGTTCTCTCTCTAATTTCTCTCTAATTGAGGGAGAACTACCTTTAAAAGGTAAAAAAAGTAACCGATTTAGCAAACTGGTGACTACTTTGATTTCTCTAATATAATTCCTAAACCTTTGCCTAAATCCATTTAATTAATTATTTTTAACATTTACTTTTTTTAATTTTTAGACACTTTTAGAAGTTGAATTTCTTGCAAAGGTGGGAGAGTTAAATGCTTCAAAAGTTGCAAATACACTATTAGTGCCGGGTCAATTTATAGATCCAAAGGAATTTAATTCATCCATGATAGCTGAAATGTCATTTAAGAGTGTCTTTTTACCTATGGATTTTCTAGTGGGTACTATTTTACAAACATCTTTCAATATTGCTTGTGAAAGTAAGTTAAAGAGAGAGGGACAAATCACTGTACAATCAAAATACTGGCAGATATTATTTTTATATATTTTTTGGGCAAATAGCACCTCGGTCGAACAACTAATAAATAAAAACCAAGAAGTGTGCCGAAATAAACGTGGGATACATGAGGCGAAATTAAACATCCAGGAGGTTTTAAATCCGCGGAAAGTAAAAAAGGAGGGATGCGAATTACAATAAATTCATTCAATAAAAATTAATTGGTATTTTGGAAAGTATTTTGTGATTGGTCCCTAGCACATATGAAAATAAAAATTATTGTTTTTTCATTTTTAAGAATTTTTGCTTGTATCAGAAAAGCTCTTTGATAAACTTAGAAATGAAAAATTTGATATAATAATATCTGAACAGTTAAATTCTTGTGGAGCTGGTGTTGGCCATCTTTTGGGTATACCTACAAATATATTAGTTTCTAGGTATTTTTTAAATTTATTAGTAAAGTAAATGTAAGTATTATTACCCAGAAAAAGCGGGTCCTTCTCTTAAGATAATAATATTGTAAGGTCGGAAAAGGGTTTATAATGTGGGTGGAACATATTATATTAGAGAAGAACAAAATATTACATGGAAAAATGTAATATAGAAATTCGTACTTCTATACTTCCAAAGTACGAATAAGAGCCCCCTGCCTTACAATAATAAAAATGAATTCCACTATTATACCTCTATTTAGTATTTTGGATAACTATTGAGATTTTGGTTGGCAGATGGAAATCTCCGGATTCCGGATCCTTTACCGAACTGAAAGTTTCTGTTATCCAGCCTTCTTACGAATCCGGATATCCGAAGATTTCCCAGGCTCCGCCAACCTTAATCCCAATCTTTAATGAATTTACACCCATAAAATAAGATAATTTCTCAGCCCAAGTGGTGGGTGAGGGTTGTGAGTGTGCTATATTGAGGGGGCTGTCCAGTAAAAAGTAAAAAAATTATCTTTTATTTTTAAAAAGCTGTCCAATACAAGAACATGTTGCTTCAATATTAGGACTTTCAAATCCAGGAAGTTACATTCCTTCATTATATGATTCTAATTTACCCGATAAAATGTCAATTTATCAGAGAACAACAAATTTATTTAGACAATTTGCTGGTTATGTTTATACAATTTATGGAGTAGATCCTTTAACTAAAATATTTAAAAAACATTATGGGGCAACATTTCCTGATTTAAGAACTATTGTTGCAGAAAGTCCTTTTGTTTTTGTTAATGTTGATGAATTTTTGGATTTTCCCCGTCCGATATTTTCGAATATTGTTTATATTGGTGGACTTGGAATGGAGGAAGGAAAAAATACAAAAATTAATAAAATTGAGGTAAAGAATTGTTTAGTTTGATATCTGAATGATCTTGTTATTCTGTGTAACCACTAAAATTCTCACCAATCCACAAAATCGGTATTTTATCGATCCCGACCGATACCGGTCGGGATCCCGATGCCACTCAACCCTAGATTTTATTGTTAGTATGTACTATGTCATGCCTTGCCGCCTATGGATTTACAAGCAAGCTAGACTTGATTCTCCTCACACTCGGGGCGTGCCACCTGTTTAGGTGCTATATAGGACTAGGTTGAAAGTTATTAAAAAGTTGTTAGGAAAATAAAACCAAAATCTTTACTAATTATTTTTTTAAAAGGACCCAATAAATATTGAAATGTCTAAAGGTAAAAAGGGTGTTATATTCTTTTCAACGGGATCAGTAGTGAAAACAACAGATATGGATGAAAATTTTAAAAGGAATGTATTATTAACTTTTTCTCAATTGACTGATTATCATTTTATTGTGAAAATTGAGAAAGACGACAATGTAAATTTTGGGAATAAAAGGGGGCAAAACACTATCCGACTAAAAATATTATTTGGAGTAAAGTGGTGATTTTCAAAAATTGAGCAAAAAATGGGGCAACTTTAATAAGATCATCACACAAAATCAACCTAATTCTCTAATAGTCTTTTCATTATTAAAGAATAAATAGTAGGATCTAGCATCTTAGGTAAGGTAATGTGCTTGAGCACGCACCCCTTTTTAGGTAGATCTCGCTTCCGTAAGGTATCATGCTTGGATAGTGTTTCAGCCTAAAAGCTTGAAACTTTAAAAATATTCTTTTAGTTTTCCTTAAATTTTGCCAAACAATTCAAAAATATTTTTGTCACATCATGGGCTCCACAAACTTTTATTTTAAAACATCCTCGATTAAAATTATTTATTACTCATGGTGGTTACAATAGTTTAATGGAATCAGCACGTGCTGGAATACCTTTAATTTCTATGGGGTTTTTTGCTGATCAGTATAGAAATGGACGTGTGGCAGAAAGGAATGGTTGGGGACTTCCATTTGATAAAAGATTGTTACTTAATGGAAATAAAGAATTTAAAAAGGCTGTTTTGAAAGTTATTGAGAATCCAAGGTGGATTTTTTACATCCATTATAAACCTCATTTTAAGTCCATCTTTAGGGCTGACGGATGATATGAATCTCATTATAAGATAGCTATGGAAACATTATAAGATATACCGAATTCATCGGACCCGCCTAGAAGATAGAACCAATAGTGCTTACTCATTAAGAGATACCCCCAATACTAGATAACAGGAATGGGCTTTGCTGTTTAAAAAACGGAAAGCGGAAAGGTCAAAATAGCATAATTCTGCGGAAGATGGAAGCGGAAGACAGCCCATACCTGCTATATACTCAGTTTAGGATAAGTTTTTTAATTCAGTTGGCCATTGGGTGGGGGAGGCCTTAACGATACCTTATATTTAAGACAGAAGGGCATTTACATATATGTATACGATGTCAAACATTACTAAAACTACATATTTTTCTCTTTTTAGTTATCTAAAATCAGCAAAAAGAATACAAAAACTAGTTTTAAACAAACCATTCTCTGCAGAAGAACGTCTTCTTCGGAGCATTCGTTTTCTTGAAATAAGTGGAGGAAAACTTCCAGAATTATTACCAGAATCGAGAAATATGAGCACAATTGCTTTTTATAATTTAGATATTTTAATTTTGGCAACAATTTCCTCAATTCTTTTAATTTTTATTTTTTGGAGGTTTTTAAAGTTTTTGACATTTAAAGGAGGAAGACGATCAACATTTTTTAATAGGAAGGAAGAAAAAGAAAATAAGAAGAATGAATAACTACTCTTTTATTTTAATAAAGCCCCCCTAAATCATGTATTTATTGCCACCCTTTTTAAAAAATAAATTGAATTTAACTTTTTTTAAAATAAATCTTGTATTACATTTAATATATAAATGAGCCAGGATTTATAAGCATTAAAAAGTTTATATGTTTTTTACAAAAAATAATTTTTGTGCAGCAAATTTTTAAAAAAATGCTGAAATATGCACAAACTTTATTAAAAATATGCAAGCTGAATTGTCATAATATGCATTTCGACAAAAAATTAAAATGGGCAATTTTAGGCAACAAGTAGTTTGGAATCAAATTTCATTAGAATAACTCCGTTTTAGCTAGAAAAAGGGACATTTGCCTAAAAATCCTAGCTCTAAATGCTATTAACTATTTATGTGAACACTTTGTTTAATGCCCTTTTTCCCCTTTCTATTTTTTTCTTTTTAACATTATTTGAAAGAGCTCTTCGAGAATGGCGCTAAAATCAACAAAACTAACCATTTGTTTTAATGAATTACAGCGGCACAAAAATGTTTTTTCAGTCACAAAATTGTCAGCAAAACTAGAAAAAAGTGGGGTATCCCCCAAAGTACCCTATCTATTACTCCCTAAATATTATCTCTAAAAAAACAAAATAATTTGATTTAAACCAAAAAAGTACTTTTATCATTTTTAAATTTAAATAATTATTCCCATTTTTTATATTAAATAAAATTAAAAAAATTAATTTTCTTTTCTTTTAAAATCCCCCTATAAAAAATTTAAATATAATCGTGTTTTTATCTAATCCTCTTTTAAAGCACCTTTTTTTAATCTTTTTTCTTCAATTCTTTTCTCCCGCTAACAAAGGCATAATTCCATTAGTAGGAGCACATTTACCATTGTGAGTGATACAGGCACTAACAGTTGTGCAACAACTAAATTGTTTTTTATAATTTAAAATTTAAAGTTGAATTTCTTAGTTCTGCTATACTTTTCTATATCGATACATACTAGAGTGCTTCTAAATTTTAAATTTATTTTTAAATAATTTCCAGTTTGCACACTTTTATTGAGAAATTAAATAAAATTTATATTTTAAGTAAAGTTAAAGTTATATTTAATTTTATTAAATAAATTTAGGTATTACTAATATTTGTTCATTTTAGAATAGTTGCAACAAACATTATCACACTTTGTGCCATCATGGCATGTTTCTTTTGCCATCAGGGTGTTAATTAATAAATTTAATAAAACGAATAAAAGAATATTTGCAGCGATTTTGCCATTCATTTTTAATTAATTTTTTTCTCTAGTAAAAATTTATAAACTCGGTAATCCTTAAGATCATTGGTCCTTGGAATAAAATTAGTAAAAAATGCTCCTTCGATATTTTTGAGGCTTGCCAGGAGGTAATCGTCCGAATCTGAACTTGGAATTCTTGTCTTGGTATTTCGGTCTTAGTAATTATAGGGTAATTATTCATCACATTTTACTTAATAATTAAAATTGTGAGGTCAATAAGAAAACCAAATATTTTTTTCTAGAGTATTTCTTTGCTTGGAATAAATTTTAGAATATTTTAGAATATTAATTAAAACACAAAAGTTCTTTTGGAAAGATAAAATACTTTTTTGAGGCAATAATGCTGTGATAATTGAGGTTATTTAAATCAAAAGGATTAAAGAATAAAATAAATTGAATTAATAAAAAAAATTTTAGCAAAAAATATTTTTAGAATATTCTTTAAAGTTTTATCCACTAAAAACATATTTGTTCAGGCTTTCTTCTTCTAAATTTGGAAAAAAATTATTGAGAAAAGAATTAATACGAAGATAGAAATTTGAGTATTTTTATTTCATAACTTAAGAAAATTATTCTTTTATTTTTGTGTTTTGAAATATTCCCCACTTTAGTGCATGACAAAATGTACTTTATTAAATAATTTCTAAATATTTTTCTATTCATTCACAAGCCTTCTTCCAGTGCCGTTCAATTTGAGGTAACTATACAGAAGAAATATGGATTACTGGCTTTCCAAACCGCATTCTATCTTCTGTAAATGCAGTCCGCAAAGCTAAATATTCTGTAAAAGACATCCCTTAATTTCCTACGAGTCATCAAATTTTGACTGCTTGGCGTAATTTCTTTGTGGCGTAATTCGTGACAAATACCTAATTTATTTACAAATAATTAAATAAAAATTAAATGTATAAAAATTTGTGATAAATTTTTCAAATATATTTTAAGTAAATCACTGGACCCTCATTTAGAGGGGGATTAATATAAATCTGGCATGTTCACAGATATGAGTAATATCTGTCTAACCAGCGGATATCCACACAATATCCGTAAATATTAATAAAGAAGAAATCTGGATTATTGGCTTTCCTTATACAAAATTAAACTTTTAATGCTGTAAAAAGTCAAATAAAAATATTTACATACATATTTTTTCAAAAATATTTTTTGCTCTAATTTGTTAACAATTTATTTATTTTTTCAATAAAATTTATTTACAAACAATAAAAAATAAATTTAATGTTTAATTATGTGTTTTAGAGAATGTTAATAATTTTTTTTAACTGATAAAGAATATTTTTTCGATTTATTTAATTAAATAATTATTTTTATAAAAATAATTATTTGTCATTTAATAATTAATTAAGGAATTTTTGAAGATAATAATTAAATATTTAAAATACTCTTCTTCTCTCCTTCTATTAAAAGCTAAAAATTTTTTAAAAAAAACTTATAATGGTGAAAAAAGTCAAATAAAAATATTTACAATTTTTTAAAATATTTTTTGAAGTTTGTTATCAATTAAAAAATAAATTAATTTTTTAAAATTCATTTTTGTATTTATAAATTTTTTTTGCATAAAAGTGTGCTTGCAAAATTACAGCCGCATTTAAAAGATTGGCCAGTAATAAATAAATTTTATCGTCACGTGAAATTAATTTTTTTTGCAAAAATTATACATGACGATTCCTTAATGTGGTTTTTCAAATTTTTTTCCTTAATGCAACGTTTCTTTTTTTAATAACTTTGTATTAAAAAAATAAATAAATAAAATTAAAAATTAATTAACATTCTATAAAGATTGTATTATTAAAGAATCATTTAAATATTTTTTTATCAGTCTCCTTATAAAATATTTAAAACATTCTTCTTTTAAAAATTAAATGTTATATTGTTAAGCATTTAAATTTTAATTAATTTCAATTTAAAAAATAATAAAATTTAAAATTAAATTAGAAACACTTTATTTATTTAAAATAAGCTTTATTACTAGAAAATCAATTTTTTTGTTAAATCTGGTTGAGTTCGATTAAGCATATTTTTAAGTAAATAAATAATTGATTTATTTGTTTATTTTATTTTAAATTATTAAAAAAAAATTTTTTTAATTGATTTTTGTTTAAATTTAAACAAAAAAAATTTTTAATTTAACAGTAAAATTAATTTTTTTCTTCAAAAATTTGCAGATTTTCTTTTAAATTAAAAAATGAAAAATATTTTGTTTAAATATTTATTATTTTTACTAATATATTTATTTAATGTTGAATCTTCAAAAATTTTAGTTTTTAGTCCAACTATAAGTCGAAGTCATATGATTTCCAATGCCCGAATAGCTGATACTTTAGCTAGTGATGGACATAATGTTGTTAGTTTCCTTTAATCATTCTTTTAATATATAGGACTTTGAAATCTAATGAGGTAATTACCTGAAAACCCAGTACATGGAGATTTAATTTAGTAAAAAAACGAGCTGGAAATACATTGAATAACAAGGGAGTTTCCCAACAATCTATAAGAGGTTAACATAAATTTAGCTACTTGACAGCAGAAGTGTATCGGAACAGTCAGAGGTGTTGAAATCGGAAGAGCCGCAAATCGGAACTTGCTCAAAAGTCGGAAATCGAAGATAAAAAATTTTTTTCGGAAATCAAAATGAAAAAAACGCCGGAAATAGGAAATCGGAATTCCGACCCACCTCTGCTTGGCAGAAATCGAATTAAAATATTTAACAAGTTTTTGCTAAATTAAATGAGCAATGATTTTTGCTTTTTTAAAAACCCGATTACGTTTTTTTAGCTTTCTGAATCTTTTATTATTAATTAATTATTTTATGATATTTTAATTTTTTAGACTCTTTTAGAAGTTGGATTTAGAGAAATAGCTTTAAATGCTTCGAAAGTCGCAAATAAAATATTAGTGCCGGGCCCCTTTATAGATTCAAAAGAATATGATCCATCATTGATGGCTAAAATGGCATTTAAGGAGGTTGATTTAACTAAGGATTTTATAGTTGGTTCAATTTGGCTAACAACTTTTAATAATGCTTGTGAAAGTAAGTGAGAGGGAGGGGGACAAATCACTGTACAACTAAAATACTGGCAAATATTATTATTACTATAGGTATTTGGAAGAAACGGCTATTAGGTTGAACAACTATTACAGTGTTACCCAAATGTACCCAGACACTAATGCTGGGTATCAGGGATGTGCGCCAGAATTTTCGCGTGGCGCGCCAAACGCCAATTTTTCAAATTTTCAAATCACGCCAAACGCCAGAACGCCAAAATCGGCAAAAAACGACGCCAAAACGCCAAACGCCAAACGCCAAAACGCCAAAAATTTTATTAAACTAAGGGCCGAAAAACAAGTGTTTATCTCTTTTTAGCGCCGCAGGCGAAAATTTTTGAATTTTCACGACTTCCAGAAGCCAAAATTCATCCTTTTTTTAGCGCCTACACCCAAAATTATGGAAATTTGTTAAGAACAAGAGCAGAAATCCTACTTTTTCTAAAAAATTGCAAGAAAAATGGAAAAATCAAACCCAGAATTGTAAATCAAACCCAGAATTGTCTTTTTTGTGCGCCGCAGGCGCAAATTTTGAAAATTTTGGAAGGCTGTGGGCAAAAAAATTTCATTTTTTGAAAAACTTCCCCCATTTATTTGGAAAATTCCCATCATTAGGGGTGTATAATTTTGGCGTTTTGGCGCGCCAAAAACTGAAAATCACGCCAAACGCCAGCACGCCAAAATCGGCCAAAAATCACGCCAAAACGTCACGCCAAAACGCCATGACGCACATCCCTGCTGGGTATGGCTCCGATTTATAAAGTATTTTTGAAAGTGATTTTTTGTGATTTGTCCCTAACACATGTGAAAATAAAGAAAATTTAACTTTTCCTTCTAAGAATTTTTGCTTGTATCAGAAAAGCTTTTTGATAAGCTTAGAAATGAAAAATTTGATATAATAATATCTGAACAATTAAATTTTTGTGGAGCTGGTGTTGGCCATCTTTTGGGTATACCTACAAATATATTAGTTTCTAGGTAATTTTTAAAGAAGGTATTTTCATTTAACAGTCGAACCTCATTATATAAAGTGTGCAACATTATATAAAGAAAGGCATATTTTAGGTCATATCTCAAGTTTTTCTTTATGATAAGGATGACGCTTGGGCGGGAGTTATACGAATAAAAGAGAACGCATTAGTCGTCGCCACGGTAGCTCAGTGGTAGAGCACCTGCATTTGTGATACCAGGTCGAGCGATTACTGTACTCGTTTTCGCAGGTTCGAATCCTGCCTTGTGGCAGAAATCCTGCCCTGTGGCAGGATTTCTATTGCCTGTATCTCGTACCAAGGTACTAGTACGACTGTGAATTTCGGTACCAGCCTCGAAGCATGGAACCTGATAGTGAGGCTCGACTTTAAAAATTTAAGAAATTATCCTTTATTTTTAAAAAGCTGTCCAATACAAGAACATGTTGCTTCGATATTAGGTCTTTCAAATCCGGCAAGTTACGTCCCGTCGTTATATTATTCAAATTTACCTGATAAAATGTCAATTTATCAGAGAACAACAAATTTATTTAGACAATATGCTTGTTACGTTTATTTACTTTATGGAGTAGATCCTTTAACAAAAATATTTAAAAAACATTATGGGGCAACATTTCCTGATTTAAGAACTATTGTTGCAGAAAGTCCTTTTGTTTTTGTTAATGTTGATGAATTTTTGGATTTTCCCCGTCCAATATTTTCGAATATTATTTATATTGGTGGACTTGGAATGGAGGAAGGGAAAAATACTAAAATTAAAGAGATTGAGGTTTTTAATAAAGTAAAGTAGAGCTGGGCTATGGCTATTTCTCTCCATCAGCGTTAAACCTCTGGGCCCATACCATAAGAGATTTGTTACTGGTTAAATGATTTTCGACAGTAGTAAACCATGAAATTTCTTATAGTATCGTTATAAATAACCTCGTGGTTACCCAACTATGTTAGGTGGTTGTGTCAAATTCCATGGCCACTTGGTCATCCCCCGTATATCAAAAATTATTTAGGAAAACTGTTATTTTTTAAAAGTACCCAATAAATATGGAAATGTCTAAAGGTAAAAAGGGTGTTATATTCTTTTCAATGGGAACAGTAATGAAAACAACAGATATGGATGAAAACTTTAGAAGGAATGTATTATTAACTTTCTCTCAATTAACTGATTATCATTTTATTGTGAAAATTGAAAATGATGACAATGTAAATTTTGAGGGTAAAAGGGGGCAAAACACTATCCGACTAAGAATACCTAGTTTACTTAACTCAAAAATGCGGCTCGCTCCACAAAATGGGGCAGAAAATGAGATCATTAAAAATAAAGCCACGAAAATTTTTTTCATTAGGTATAATGCCTGATTATTTGAACTTTTACGAGGCCAAAAAGCTAAAATTGGGCCAAAAATCTTATTTTCTTTTATTCTAGATTCATAATTATCCTTTATGTTATAGCCATTAAGCTAAGCCTCGATATCCGATTACTTTTTGAAGGAAATCTATTTTCTGAAGATATTTTGATTGGATAGTGTTTTAGCCTAAAAGTTTGAAATATATACTCTAAAAAATATTCTTTTAGTTTTCTTTAAATTTTGCCAAACAATTCAAAAATATTTTTGTCACATCATGGGCTCCACAAACTTTAATTTTAAAACATCCTCGATTAAAATTATTTATTACTCATGGAGGTTACAATAGTTTAATGGAATCAGCACGTGCTGGAATACCTTTAATTTCTATGGGGTTTTTTGCTGATCAATTTAGAAATGGACGTGTGGCAGAAAGGAATGGTTGGGGACTTCCATTTGATAAAAGATTGTTACTTAATGGAAATGAAGAATTTAAAAAGGCTATTTTAAAAGTTATTGAGAATCCAAGGTGGATTTTTTATTTAGGTTGACAACTAAGTTTTGAGCCCCCCTTGGGTTAAGCGCATTCAATAATTATTAAAATTCATCAAAATGTTTTCAAAATGTAATTTATTTTTCTCTATGTTCCTAATTGAGTTGCCTATTTTTGGGCGAAAAATCAGAGCCATAGGATTAAGTTTCAAGCAAATGATTTAGACCATACACAGGATATGGTCCAAAAATGAATTTTGGATATGGCTCAGGAAATATACTGTAACTTTTTTATATTGTAAAGTAACGAAAAGAAATTTGCAAAGAAGATATCTAACATTCTTATTAATAAAATAAAGAAGAAATTAGGTAGGTCAGTCGGTTAGGAAAAAAGTTATGAATTTTTAACTCTAGGGGGCTCAAAACTTATTTGTTAGTTGAGAACCTAAGTAATTACATAAATACAAGCAGGAATTTTAAGAGTCATCCTTAGGGCTGACGGACTTCATTAGAAATTACCTCCAACACTACGGAGACAGCTTAAGATAGTTTTTTTTCAATTAGGTTGACCATTGAGTGTGAAGTTTTCTAAACGATACCATTTATAGTTCATTAACAATAATTTCAGTCATGGGATGTATAAATTTATACATAATGTCCAATATTAAATATTTTCTTTAACTTTAGTTATCTAAACTCAGCAAAAAGAATACAAAAACTAGTTTTAAACAAGCCATTCTCTGCAGAAGAACGTCTTCTTCGGAGCATTCGTTTTCTTGAAATAAGTGGAGGAAAACTTCCAGAATTATTACCAGAATCGAGAAATATGAGCACAATTGCTTTTTATAATTTAGATATTTTAATTTTGGCAACAATTTCCTCAATTCTTTTAATTTTTATTTTTTGGAGGTTTTTAAAGTTTTTGAGTGGAGGATATACAAAAATACGGGCAACATTTTTCAATAAAAAGGAAGAAAAAGAAAATAAGAAGAATGAATAACTACATATTAGTTAAAAAAAACCCCTTAAATCTTTATTTAATTCTACCTTTATTTAAAGCTTTTTTAAATAAATCTTGAATATTTTGATAAAATTTTGGAATTTTCTTTTAATCTAGACAATTTGCTTTTTAATTATCCTTTAAAGTAGGTCTCCCCTTTCTCCCCCTTCAATATATTTTATTTATTTGAGTAAAAATTAAACTTTTAGTGATGTCAATTTATTATTCCTTTTTAAAATATATTTTTTGTAGTTTTTTGGTATTTAATTACAAATAATAAATTTAATATTTAATTTTAATTATTTTAGTTTTGAGAATTTTAATATTATTTTATTTTAACTGATAAAGAATATTTAATTTTTATTTATTTAATTATTAATTAATTTGTTTGTTTGCTTTGTTAATAATTTTTGGTTTTAAAAATTATTTAAAAATATTATAGATTCTTTTTTGTTGCCACCTTTTAAGGTTTTTTTTATAAATTTTTTTAAATTTTTCTATTTTTTAAAAATATTTTCGCCTTTGACATTTTTTTAGATTTTAATTTTTATTTTTAAAACACTTGTCATATAAATAGAAAATTGAAAGTTATTGACATTATAAACCATAAAATACTTTTTTTCTTTTTAAATGATTATAGTTTCGATAACTAATTAAGGAATTTTTGAAGATAATTTTTTGTTTATTTAAAACATTCTTCTCTCCCTTTTTAATTTTTGTCTATAGAATTTACCTACATACTTTTGAAATTAAAAATAAAAATTAAAAATTAGTTAAAATAACTTTATTACAAGAGAATCATTTTCTTTTGTTGAATCATTTTGTTGTTCAGTTAAGCATGTTCTAAGATAGAGCCTATTTGGCTCTATCTTAGGACATGCGTCCCATGAACTTTTATGCGTCCCATGAAAGTATATGCGTCCCAAAAATAGTATATGCGTCCTATGAAAATATACAGCCTAAGAATTTATATGCGTCCTAAAATTAATATAAGCGAAAGAGAATTTTGTAAACTTTTTTTAATTGTATTAATGAAATTTAAATATTTTATTATGTATCGCTAAAGATTGTCTAAACCTGCTGAATGTTGTTTAAACCACCTTTGCTGAAGGTTGTTTAAACCTCCATACGCTGCCCAGCCATCGCTAATGATGGTTGATCAACATTTTCAGCATTTACATATCGTAAATGTTCAAATAATGGTCCATCTGTATTAAAATCAATCAAGAAGGACCCTTTGAAAAATATAAACCAAGGCCTCATTTTAACTAAATTTGTAAAACGTATTTGTAAATTACCAGCAAAATTATTAGCTCAAGTTCAAGGACTAATATTTAATTGTCATTAATAAAATTAAAAAATGTTTTCGCAATTGTTTTACGCTTATATTAATTTTGGGACGCATATATTTTGAAGGGACGCTTATACTATTTTTGGGACGCATATACTTTCATGGGACGCATAAACCTCCATGGGACGCATAAACTTTCATGGGACGCTTAAAAGGTCATGGGACGCATGTCCTAAGATAGAGCCGTTTATTTTTTTAATAAATAAATATGTAATAGATGAACTTAAAATTTAAAAAAATAATTTACTAATTTTTTCCCTTTTTTTTTAATTTTTTAGTTTTAATTTCGAAATCTCGACTTGAAAAAATATGTAAATAAAAGACATGCTATTTTTTGTTTTTGACATTTACTATTTTTTACAAAAAATTTAATGATTTTATTTCAAAATTTCTAGATTTTCTTAATTAAAATTAATTTTTCAATTTTTTTTGTTTAATCAGGATGAGTTCGTTTAATTTCTTTAAGTAAATAAATAGTTGATTTGCTTGCTTTAAATTATTAAAAAATTGTTAAATTGATTTTTGTTTAAATTTTAAAAAAAATTAAATTAAATTTCCTTCAAAAATTTCCAGATTTTGTTAATTAAAAAATGAAAAATATTTTCTTAAAATATTTATTATTTTTAATATATTTATTTAATGTTGAATCTTCAAAAATTTTAGTTTTTAGTCCAACTATAAGTCGAAGTCATATGATTTCCAATGCTCGAATAGCTGATACTTTAGCTAGTGATGGACATAATGTTGTTAGTTGGTTTTGATTTAATTAATTAAATATAATGAACAAACCCCGGTAATTCCCTAAAACACGGTAATTGGAGATGTGAACTTTAATTTAATAAAAAAATGTGTTGGAAATACATTGAAGAACGGTGGAGTTTCTAATTGATGGAGAGTAGATGATTAAGAGGTTTACATAAATTTAGCGGTATCACGACTTTTGCGCCGAGAACATTTGCGCCGCGACTTATGCGCCGCGACTTTTGCGCCGGGCGACTTTTGCGCCGCGACTTTTGCGCCGGGCGACTTATGCGCCGCGACATTTGCGCCCCATTGTTTTAAAAATCCGGATCCGAAAAATGCCGGATATCCGAAATTTTCAGTTCGGATATCGGATCCGGATATCCGAAGATTTCCAACTATCCGACAACCCTACTAAAGTGAGGTCCGGCTGTAGTTATTGATATATTTTTAATGATAGTGGCGGCGCAAAAGTCCCCCGGCGCAAAAGTCGCTCGGCGCATAAGTCGCGGCGCAAAAGTCGCGGCGCAAATGTTCTCGGCGCAAATGTTCTCGGCGCAAAAGTCACGGAACCAATTTAGCTACTTAATAAAATACAGGAATCTGCAAACTGTGAGTTATTACTAGTATTTAAAATTGACTGGGTTAATTGGGTGATGATTTTGCCTTTTCCTCACATAAATATTAAATCAGTACCTAAACGCTTTTTGAGTTAATTAATTAGTTATTTTCTGGCACATATATTTTGATTTTTTAGACACTTTTAGAAGTTGGATTTATTGTACCAGTGGGAGCTTTAAATGCTTCAAAAGTTGCAAATACAATATTAGTGCCGGGTCAATTTATAGATCCAAAGGAATTTGATCCCGCAACATTAGCTGAAATAGCATTTAGGAATGTTGATTTAACTATGAATTTTATAGGTGCTTCAATTTTCCAAACAACTCATAATAATGCCTGTGAAAGTAAGTGAAAGAGGGGGGCAAATCACTGTACAACAGGGGTTGACTTCGCCTATCGCCTTTAATTTCGCTTTTTAAATTTACTGACACATACTTTATTACAATAAATCTATTCCATAAACATTTTTTGTTTGAAAAAAATTAATTGGTATTTTGTAAAGTAATATTTTGTGATTTGTCCCTAACACATGTAAAAATCAAGGAAATTTAACTTCATTTTAAGAATTTTTGCTTGTATCAGAAAAACTTTTTGATAAACTTAGAAATGAAAAATTTGATATAATAATATCTGAACAATTAAATTTTTGTGGAGTTGGTGTTGGCCATCTTTTGGGTATACCTACAAATATATTAGTTTCTAGGTATTTTTTCAGTAAAAAATTATTCTTTAAAACAATCTAGCCTTGCTATAATACCTTAATTAAGGCATGGTTTTTTAATCTGGATGTTGCCTAATTTTAATTTATATTTAGGATAACCTAGGATATGTAAGATTTCTCAAATCCACGGGTATCTAACAGTGCTTTGAAAGTTTTCATTCATTCATCATTCATACACCCCCCCCCTATTCTTCATAACCCCTATCTTCATACACCACTATTTTTGGCTTCGTACCTCATGTTCATACTTCGTAATATTTATATTTTTGCTCGTATCAGGTAAAGTACGAGTTTTGGTACGAGCTTCAAGGCTGGTCTCTAATAGCGCAGCTTATTTATAATTATGACACTCCTATAAAATATGATGTTTTCGGACCCAAGATTATCTAATAGTAATGTCCGAGTAGCATAATTTAATAAAAGTTTTCCTTAGCTGTCCATTACAAGAACATGTTGCTTCAATATTAGGACTTTCAAATCCGGCAAGTTACATCCCATCATTATATGATTCTAATTTACTTGATAAAATGTCAATTTATCAGAGAACAACAAATTTATTTAGACAATTTGCTGGTTATGTTTATACAATTTATGGAGTAGATCCTTTAACTAAAATATTTAAAAAACATTATGGGGCAACATTTCCTGATTTAAGGACTATTGTTGCAGAAAGTCCTTTTGTTTTTGTTAATGTTGATGAATTGTTGGATTTTCCCCGTCCAATATTTTCGAATATTATTTATATTGGTGGACTTGGAATGGAGGAAGGAAAAAATACTAAAATTAATAAAATTGAGGTTTTTTAATTTAATAAATATTTGGAGTGTATTAGTTTGGCTATTCAACGATTTCCAATTTTTTCAATGTTTCTCCTTTCACTTTTCATATTTGTTTCATTAAACCTATGGGCTCTTATTATACTAAATATTGTTTAAATGACCTTACGATATTCGTAATCGTAAGGTAATCACAGTTTAACAATTACCTCGTAATTACCTAACGTTACTAAATGACCGATCAAATTATTTTCTAATATTGCCATTAAATTTATACCAAAAAATTCTTGCTAATTATCTTCTTATGGCACGGGTCTTGGTAGTAGTATGCTAAAAATTGTTACTGTTATTAAGATCCTTAATAATTAATTTTTTAAAAAGGACCCAATAAATATTGAAATGTCTAAAGGTAAAAAGGGTGTTATATTCTTTTCAATGGGATCAGTAATGAGAACAACAGATATGGATGAAAATTTTAGAAGGAATGTATTATTAACTTTCTCTCAATTGACTGATTATCATTTTATTGTAAAAATTGAGAATGATGACAATGTACATATAAATATTTTTGTTGCAAAGGAGGGCGAAACACTCCTAATAAAAATCTTGTCTAAATAGAAGGTAACGTGACTTTTGCGCCGCCACTATCATTAAAAATATATGAATAACTACAGCCAGACCTCACTATAGTAGGTTTGTCGATAGTTGGAAATCTTCGGATATCCGGCTCCATATCCGAACTGAAAATTTCGGAATCAGGCCTTTTCGGATCCGACAGCCCTACGTTCTTGGGGCTGAAAATCATGCCGGAATAGGCTCAGTCTCGCTAACCATCTAGCTCGGTCTCGCTAACCGAGCTTTTTGAACGTTTTTATTTGGTAGTGTTTCAGCCTAAAAGCTTGAAATAATTTTAAAAAATATTCTTTTAGTTTTCTTTAAATTTTGCCAAACAATTCAAAAATATTTTTGTCACATCATGGGCTCCACAAACTTTTATTTTAAAACATCCTCGATTAAAATTATTTATTACTCATGGAGGTTACAATAGTTTAATGGAATCAGCACGTGCTGGAATACCTTTAATTTCTATGGGATTTTTTTCTGATCAGTATAGAAATGGACGTGTGGCAGAAAGAAATGGTTGGGGACTTCCATTTGATAAAAGATTGTTACTTAATGGAAATGAAGAATTTAAAAAGGCTATTTTACAAGTGATCGAAAGCCCTAGGTAATGTTTTTTAATAAATACAATCCAACCTCATTTTAAGATTCACTCTTAGGGCTAACAGACTTTACTAGAAACCATCTCCATCATTACGGACATAACTATAAGATACCTTCAATACCACAGATGTCACGGGTAGGGTAAAAGAGAAGTAGAATTCTGGATTAAGTTTTCGAAAATTTCTCGGACGGGTATCGTCTTGGTTTTCGGATAACCCATGAAATCCCTGCTACACTCCTCAATATAAATTTTTTTAATTCAGTTACATGATGTCAACCATCGCTAAAATTTAGGGTTTGACCCCGAACGCTCGGGGACGGGTATGTCGGGTAAATGTCCGGTTGGTGTCCTACATGTCCGCAAAGAGAATGCGCATTTTTCCTTCCTTTTCTTGCATTTTTTCCTGCAAGGAGTGGCGCCCATTCTTCCCTTATGTATGGTATGTATGCCTTTTGGCACGTCTAAGGAAAGAGGAAAAATAATTAAAATTAATGACTAATAGAGTACAAATAAATATTTTTTTTAATAATAATTCCCACACAAATAATTCCTAAAGAGAAAATTTGTTGATTCCAATTTTCGTCGATAAAGAACTCGATATTGGATCAAAGAAAAAATCCCAAATGTTAATTATTGAATATATACAAGGCTGGATCTGCCTCAAATGTGGTAATGATATAAGTATAAAGTGAAAAAATAGATACTTCTGGCGGTAATTAAAAACTAAATTCATTATATATGTATTAAAATTTTTATAATTAAGTTGTCCCAGAAAAATTGCCAAGCAATAATTTCTGTACGTTCTGATATGTAGTTTTTTTCTCTGTCATTTAAAAAAATATTTATTTGTACTTTATTATTAATTAATTTTAATTATTTTTCCTCTTTCCTTCGACGTGCCAAAAGGCATACCATACATAAGGGAAGAATGGGCGCCACTCCTTGCAGGAAAAAATGCAAGAAAAGGAAGGAAAAATGCGCATTCTCTTTGCGGACATGTAGGACACCAACCGGACATTTACCGGTATGTCGGGGTAGCAAAATATGGTCGTGGTTCGGGTCGGGGTTAAGCGAAAAAATTTTTTAAGAATAAAGTTTGAAGATCTCATGGTGTATTTTCATTAATTTATGCAAAAATTAAGGATGATAAGAAGAGTTTAAAGGGATATAAGGGAATTTGGAGTGATTAAGGGATCTTTGAAGGGATTAAAGGGTATATCTAGATATATAATCCACTTTCTCTTTTAAGTTATCTAAAATCAGCAAAAAGAATACAAAAACTAGTTTTAAACAAACCATTCTCTGCAGAAGAACGTCTTCTTCGGAGCATTCGTTTTCTTGAAATAAGTGGAGGAAAACTTCCAGAATTATTACCAGAATCGAGAAATATGAGCACAATTGCTTTTTATAATTTAGATATTTTAATTTTGGCAACAATTTCCTCAATTCTTTTAATTTTTATTTTTTGGAGGTTTTTAAAGTTTTTGAGTGGAGGATATACAAAAATACGATCAACATTTTTTAATAAAAAGGAAGAAAAAGAAAATAAGAAGAATGAATAACTATTAGTCTAAAAACCCTTAAATCCTTATCTAATGCCCCCTCTATTTAAAACTTTTTCTAAATAAATCTTGAACTTTTTTGATAAAATTTATGAAATCTTCCTTTAATTTAAACAGGTTGATTTTTAATTATTCTTTAAAGATAACTTATCTAAAAATCATATTCTTATTTTAGACAATACAAGACTTTTTGATTCAAAAAAATTTATCAACATTTCAATTAAATTATTAATTTATAAATATTATTATATCCCCATTTTTAAAATAAATAAAATAAAAAAAAATTTTTTTTTAAATCCCCCTATCGAAAAACTTAGATAATCATATTTTTATCAAATTCTCTCTTGCACACAACGTTTAGAAAAATTTTTCTTTAATTCTTTTTCCCAGTTAATAAAGGCATAATTCCATCTTCACAACATTTAGTTTGGCAACATCTATATCCCAAGCAACAACTAAATTTTATTTTTTTTTAAATTTAAATAATTAGAAAATTAATTATGTAGAATTTCTGTTAATATAAGCACCGATGCATTTATTTTTAAGCATTTTTAACTATGTAGCAAGCTATAGAACGGAAAAATTTAAGGTATTCTTGTGTTATCAAACCCCACTTTCCTTTCTCCCATTAATCCAATCCGAGTGAAATTATTCAAATTCCTTCTATTTCTGGAATCGGGAAAGGGAATTTCCGACACAAAAAATGTTGGGAATCCCCGATTTTCGGAAATTTTGTCTGCTAGACCCCTGAGCCCGTATCATAAGACGTGTTTGGTTATTTAACTTACCTACACTAAATTTCCCCCCATAAGTTAAAAAGAAGAGGTGCTTGCATCAAAAAAATCAGGTTGTTGCTTATTATTTATATGTAGAGAGCGAGATTTTCAAAAAACCTTGATTTTGGTTGGGTACCTTGACCAGATTCTTGACCTTCTGTCAAGGAAAAATCAAGGATCTGGACTCTGGATCCAGGAAAAATCACGGCCTGGATCTAGCCCCGCTCTCTGTAAATGAGTATAATAAAAATATATTTTACTAATTTTTATTAGTTTTGATATTCGTGCAACAGAAATGATTATCTTCACAAATTGTTTGTTTATCGGGGCATTTGTGACTACAATCCATAAATTCAATATTAATTAATAAATTTAATAAAACAAAGAAAAAAATATTTGTAGCGATTTTGCTGTTCATTTTTAATTAATTTTTTTTCTCTAGTAAAAAAAGTATAAACTTTTTCGGTAATTGAATAAATTAATAAAGGCTTTTAACTTTTAAATTAAAAAAATATTTTTAATTTACTTTAAAAAACTATTTTAGTGGAGTCTCTATTTCTCAGTTTTTTTCTGAATTTTTCTGAATGTTGAAAAAGTTTGGGAAATTTTGGTGTTATTTTAATAGTTCTTAACTACCGTATTTTCTCGATTAATTCCCCAGGGGAATTAATATTTCGACCCATCCGTGAAATGAGGAATTATTTGAGGGAGGGGAATTATTCGAGTTTTGGCATTTGAACGTGCAGTAGGGTATTTGGGGGTGGGGAATTATTATTTCAACCCATCCCTGGCAGGGGAATTAATCAAGAGGGGGAATTAATTATTCGAGGGGGGGGGGGAATTAATCGAGAAAATACGGTAATTTATATTTGAATTTTGCTTGTGAGAAAACGATAAAAATATTTTCTAGCGTATTTCTATGCTTGAAATAAATTTTAAAAATTTATTTATTGTTGATTAAAACCAGGGCTTCGATTTCTGCGGATTTTTCCTCATTTTGTGGTTTTTTGATAGGGCGATGAGGATTATTTTTAAAAATGCGGATTTGCGGATTTTTGTGGTCTTATGAAGTTTATGAGGATTTTTTTGTATTTTCTTGTAGTTTTTATGATAAAATATCATTTTTTGTCTTCCTGGCCTTCCAAAATCCTCAAAATTTTCGTCTGCGGCGCTGAAAGAAGAAAAAAATTTTAAGTATATTTTTCATGCACTTCTTTGAATTTTGATCAGATGATTAATAGTAATAAAATTTTCCTCAACTCATATCGTGGAGTCAAAAAATATAACACATGAAGTGATTTTAATTCATTTTTTGTTTGTGTTGATGCGCATAGGGTTTTGCGGATTTTTAATATAAAATGCGGATTTAGCTCAGAAATGCGGATTTTTAAAAATTCGAGATCGAAGCCCTGATTAAAACACATAAATTCTTTTAGAAAAATAAAAAAAATTTTTAGCTAGAAATATTTAAATGTAATTTTGTAAGCAATAATGCTTTAATATTTGAGGCTATTTAAATTAAAAAGATTAAAGAGTAAAATACACCCAACTAATGAAAAATATTTTAGCAAAAAATATTTTTAGAATATTATTCAAAGTTTTATCCACTAAAAATATATTTATTCAGATTGTACTTTCCAAATTTGGGAAAAAATTATTGAGAAGAGAATACAAAAAGAGAATTATTCTCATGTCAGAATTATTCTTTTTTTTGTGTTTTTAAATATTTTTCCGTACGTATAGAGGTGATAAAAATGTACTTTATTATTAGAAGAATTTGAATTTCTAAATATTTTAAATTCATTCTTATTGGTTTGTCAACTAGATAGGGCTATTTTTGTCGCGAAAGGCGACAATTAGAATTTAATTTAAGTTTATTTTTTCTAAAACCTATTTTCTTTAAATTCCAATCTTTGTTTTTTTCTAAATCTAAATTATTTTTAACCGCACCTGCTGTCTAGGTAATTCTTTTATGTTCAAGAAATTTGTTCTATTTCTAACTTTTTAAATTAGCTTTCTTTTGTTTCTTTAAGCGCATCTATTTAATTCATTTTTATATGTACCAGCCGCCATTCATTAATTTCTATTTTTTCCCACTTTTGGAACGTTGTTTATCTTAACTTTGTTACCCACCTATTTTTATGGCCTATATAATCTCCCCTCCAAAACCCACATTAGCTTCTACTTAGCTTCATTCTGGTGGGGTTCTATTGTGGCTTGCTTTCTAATCAGCTCTACTCTGTTGGTTCCGAACTCTGGCTTACTCTATTTCTTTGTTGGCGCACTTACTTTATTAATTGTTGGATTTAATTTATGTAATTTGAAAATAAATCTTTTAAATATGTTTGGAATTGGGTTGAACTTATTTTTGAGTTTGAAATTAGTCCCTAGGCATTTACTACAATTTTGGTTATAATTTAATTTATTACTTTCCAATGAGTTATCTTCCTCCCATTTCTGATTCAAAAAATGACACTAATTTGTAAAGGTTTTTCAATAAAATTTTCTTTCGATATAAAATAAGGATTGCTGATCAATCAATTTAGAAATGGAGGTGTGGCAGAAAGATTACAAAATTCTATTGAATTTTTAGATGTAAAGCTTTTAGTAAATTAAAAAATATATTTTTACACCGAGAAAAATATTTATGCTACAATTAGGTAAATAAATACTACATATGGGTAGGATAAAACAAATAATTTTAGAAGAAAATTAATGTTAACTTTTCCAAATATGCTTACATTTTGGAGGGATTTAAAGAAAATATTTACATAAATTACATAGTACATAAATTTTTGAGTATACATATGTGGTCTTGAAATTAATCGAAAATCTATAATAAAAATATTTGAGTGTTTGAAAAGGGGTTTTTACTGAATTAAAATATGTACATATCTTCACAAAAATTCAAAAGT